GGAACTAATTAGGAGGGGAGGTGGGAAAGGCAGTCTGGTAAACCTGATTTTGTCTTGGATGTCACGGCGGCGCGTGACTTGATAGTCATCAAAGAGGGCCTTCGGTGACTGTGAGGCAGAGAAGCAGGCGAAGGGAGGAGGAGAGGAGGAGGAGAGGAGAGGAGAGGAGAGGAGAGGAGAGGAGAGGAGAGGAGAGGAGAGGAGAGGAGAGGAGAGGAGAGGAGAGGAGGAGAAAAAGGGGGAAGGACGGTGATGGCGCCTGTTGCTCTATCTTCTGTCTACCTTGGTGGATCGTCGAAGAGCAGACATTCGTTCCCTGGCCTCGTCCAGCGTCTACAACAGTCACATCCTGTGGGAGAAGAGAGGCAGGGTAGGAACCTGAAGCTTCTCCTTGGAAAAGTCAAAGTCTTCGTCTCCTAGGAATTTTCCTCGTCCCACTTGGCCGTCAAGATCTGTGCTGTCGACGTAGGAAGACCACACATGCCCTGGTTTGCAATCTGCTAGAAAGAATGACAAAGTTAGAGGAGAGGAGGAGAGGAGGAAGCGGGAGAGGACAGAGAGGGAGTGGAGAGAGAGTGAAGAGGATATGGAAGAGCGATGAGAGCTGCGCACCGGCTGACAGCCTTGTAGTCGAGTCGGTGAATTGTCTGACTCCGCTAGAATTGCTGGAAGAGGCAAGGGGAAGAGGAGAACAACAAGGAAGAGAGCAACAGAGACGATCGAGGTTCGAGGCAGACAAAGAAGGGGAGGAGGGAGAAGGCGGGGAGAGGTCAGACTCATTCTTCACCATCCCCACATTTCAACTCACAAGGGGGATTTCTCAGGTGACTTCTTGCTGCTCCGAGGAGGCGTTGCCCGGGATGGACTCTTTCCGTTGCTGTGCTTCTGCATCTTCCGCTTACCGACGTGCTTCACTGAGGACGCGGAAAGTTACCTGGCGCCGGCGGGCAATGCCTGACAAACCCTCTGGGGAGTAGGAGGGATCCTCCTGGGTGAGGGTAACATGACATCATGGCAGGGAGAGATCGGAAAGCGGAGGAGACGGCAGGAAAGCAAGGAGACAGCGAAGAGTCTTAGAGGGGAGGATGATGGGGGGATACGGAGGCTCGGAGATCAGTGGGAGGGGGGAGGGTATGAGATGATGTATGGAGGATTGGTACCTTATTCAAGGGTACGGGCAAGGGATCGTCCTTAGCAAGAGGAGTCTGCGGTGAGAGTCAAACGAGTTGAACGAGGATAGAGTCGTGATAAGCAGAATGAAGCGGAGATGAGGGAGAAGCCGGGGTGAGGGGAAGAATCGAGTGAGAAGGGGTTCGAAGGTAACTTGAAGGAGCGAGAGGAGGGAGAGAGAGGAGGGAGAGGAGGGAGAGGAGGGAGAGGAGACTTGGAATTTAAGATGAAGATGCAAAAAGGTTTGACCTGCTTCCACCACGGCCAATTCGACGGTTCTCCTCTCTTCTTCCACTTCTGAAATAATAGGTCATTCTGTGAAAGGAATAGTAGAGGGTAGGGACGAGTGGGCAGGAGAGGACTGTATGAGGAAGAGAAGAGGCGGAAAGGAGAGAGGAATAGCGGAAATGTGGACGATAGTCGGAGGGAACGAGGAACAGGGAAGGGGAGGTGTGGGAGGGCCAAATGCGGAGGAAGAGGGAGGAGGAGGGAAGGAGAAGGAATGGGGGAGGGTTGGAAGGGGGGGGGGGAGGTATCGGGTCAACCTCTGCCTGGGATTTCCTATATTGTTCCGTTGCCAAGGTGTTTCTCATGTAGCTCCTCGTACGAAGGTCCGGCGGCGACACGTCACCTATAGGCAAACTGCATGATGAGAAGGGAGGAGGAAGGGAGGAGGAAGGGAGGAGGAAGGGAGAGAGCCGGGGAGGAGGACTCAAAGCAGGAGGAGGTTGGAAAGCTGCAGCGAGGGAGGAAGGGGGAGAGGGAGGGGAGTGGAAAGAGGAGAAGAGTGGAGCCAACGGCGTACTTTTCCATCTCTCGATGTTCGACTGCAGCGAACGGTCGACCTTCCCGTCTCTCTTGTGCGTCCTGTCAAGAGAGTGGCTCCTAACGTGCTGCGAACCCGATCTCAGACAAACAAGACGCAAGGCCTTCAGCATCAGAGCAGACAAGGTTGAGAAGGCAACAGAACCCTCCAAGACTAAGAAACGAGGGGGAGGAGGAGCTCTCCATGATTCACCTGGCGGCTGCTCCCATCGGCGGGACTTCGACCTCTCCTGCCAGGGGAAACACCAACCGACAGCTGCTGCTTCTTCTTCCCTATCAACCGCCGCCTCAATCCTCTTCCTCCACCCACCCTCTCGTAGTACCGGATTTCGAAGACTGGGGGGTCCTCGTCTTAGTCGAGAGCCTCTCCATCCACCCCTCTTCCTCCTCCAAGACGCTTCCCGACCCGCTGGTCTTCTCGTCCTCTCCTGTTGGGTAGATGCTGTGCTGTAACCCCCGGGGCCTCGACGACCCTCCCCGGGATCCTCCTATGAGAAAGGTGCAATGTGGGGCGCTGTCGGCAAGGTAACGTGCGAGCTGCTTCTTCCTCAGCGAGCTCTCGACTCTCGCCTTCATCTCATCGTACGCATGCTGCATCTCGGCAGGCTCAGCTCCTTTCATCTGGCTGATGGCGGGGGAGACTGGAGCGAAGGATTCGTAAGGCACGAATGGCGGGTGGGGGAGGGGCAGCGGAGAGGAGATGAAGCTTGTACGAGTCTGGGTGGGACAAGACTGATACAGTCTGAGATGGTAGAGGAGGGGAGTGAGGAGGAGGAAGAGAGGTACACAGGGGAGGAGGGGAGGAGGGAGGAGGGAGGGGGAGGGGGAGGGGGAAAGGGAGACGTTGTAAAACTGCCTCTGAGTAGTTTTAGAATTATTAGTTGCGTACTGCTCGCTAAGGTCGTACTTATTAATAATATTTTATGATTTTTTGTAATGTTTTTATAATAAAAGAGTTTTAAAAAGTACCAAATCAAAATAGGTCATCATGTGGTATAACAACAAAGCAGGACCTGGGCGATTTGCCGCCAATGCGCTACTAGCAGGAGAAAAGCGGCAGGGGCAGGGGCAGGGGCAGGAAGAGGAGGAGGAGCCGCTGACAATGCGCATGAATGGAGACACTCGGTCCTGTGCTGAGATCGTAGGACAAGATAGGAAATGGCAGGGCCCAGCAAGTGAGGAGGGAGGAGACAGGATTTCCTGATATTGTAGCAGGAGACTGGTCAGAGCTATAGAAACACGTTTCTCAGGAGAGAGCTGAGATTTCTCTGCAGGTGGTAGAGGAGGCAATATGTCAGCTTCAACTGTGTCCGAGCTGCTAAGGTGCATGAACCGAAGCTATGAAGCCCCTGCCCAGGGAAGGTCGGCACTCCCACGAGATGGGGTGAGAAACCTTAGCTTTAAGAAAGTCTCAGGCAAGACAAATGCCTCTGGTGGAGAGGAGAGCTTCAGCGACAGGCAGCAGAGAGGGCAGAGCGCGGACGAGCTGTGGTTGGCGCACATGGCGGGAAAACGGATGCTGCCAGACTTCATTATGGAAACCGACTGGAAACAACTGTCTGTCCTCATTGCGGAGGTTCAGAGAGTTGCAGTCACCAAGTGCTTGACGACCCGCACCAACGCTTGCTCGAGGAGCAAGAGGATGAGCTCTGTAGACAACATCGTCTGCTTCCTCGTCAAGGCAGCCTACTCTTCCCAACTCAAAGATAAAACTTCGGTTTCCATTTCACTCAGTCGGAAATGTGGTGAGGTCTTGAACGCCGCATGCAGCCTGTCGGAGGACTTGATGGTTGTCTTGCTGTCCTTGTGTCTGTGATGCTGAACCATGTTCGAGCAGAAAGGATTGTCCTGTACCCTGTATATCCTCGAGATTGCCAAGGAAATAGATACGAAGGGGGATGTATTCGTTCCCTTGCTTCGAGACAGGACCCGCTACCTCTTTTCTGCGTCAAGGTTCACAACTCCGAGCAGTGATGACGGAATCTCTTTCAACCAACTTTCTTATCATTTCTGGGACCTGCTTGTGAGTCCGACGTTGCAAGAAGCCCGGAATATGTTGTACAGGATTTTCCGTCACTTGTTGTCAAACAAGGAATCCTCGAAAATCTTTGATCTGGTGATGCCCAGTGAAGTCTTCATTGTTTTCAGGGATGATTGTGCCCTTCTACAGATTTCATCGCAACTGGAGCCAGATGGCTCGTGTCTTGGTTTAGCTGCAATCATGATACGATTGCTTTCAAGGTCGGACGAGATCAGCGGTATGAAGGCTGGGGCTGACCGACACCTGTTGACAAGTTTCTGATCAGCACGGTCCGTCCAAGAGCTGGTAGACAACGAAGTCACTTCCGCTCTGTCCGCATGCAATGCTGAGAAGATGGGAAGATGCATTCTCATCATGATCTTTCTCTCAGAGGTAAAAGAGCTGCCTGTAGTTTTCTCTGATGTTTCAACCAGGACGTGAAGAATCTCCATACCTCCCTGAGGGGTTGGGCGATACACGAGCTCTGGATGCGAAAGGTGAGACTTGGAATGACATGCTGAAGAGGTTGAGGCCCTTTATGCACAGCTCATCGTACGGGGGAACAACAATCCCTCATGCTCGAAGAAGTGTGTTTCTATGATGATCGGATTGATGAAGGTCGACCGACTGCCCTCCTGTCTGTCCCGTCTCAAGTGGCTGACGTCCCAACAGCAACTGGTCGCTCAAGACTCTTGGCACTCGTCCGCCTATCGGATACAAGGGGATTCCCTCAAAATGCACGTTAGCGCCTTGACCAACTCAAACCTCCAAAAGTGCTACGTCCGGGACTACACAGTGACAACCATCAGCTAGTGAACAATTCTGTGACCTTGTCTTAGGTGCTTGCGAAGTCAAGGCTGTCAGAGCTCAGCGGGCTCGTCGAGGGAGCATGTGCCGCAGCAGGTATCGATGCGTTGGAGGATGGTAGACCGGACGGCAGCGAGCTGGAGACGACGGTGAGATCTCAGTATCAGATCAACGGCACGTGTGAGATGAGAACAGGCCGAGGGCAGCCCAGCAGGTCTCCAGAGATCCTTTGACCTTCTCTGCTCGTAAGTGATGGAGGTGATGGGTCGGTTCGTGTGCTCACTGGGCCAACGCAGGCGTTTCGAGGAGAATCTTTCGTCCTTCCAGATCTACGAGGCCTCGGCAGACCTTACCAAGGAGATCGAGCGATGTGGTCAGGTGGTGGAAACACTCGAGGAGCAGTCGGCGTTCCTTAGCAGCTTCAGCGTCACGTTCCTCAATGGCATGCTGAAGCTCTTCATCGCCCACTGCAACAGGTCCATCGAGAGCGACCTACCCGCTCCTGCCCTAGGATGTCACCTGTGGCTGTCTCGATGCTTCTTGGTCGTTGCAGCCCATGGCAGACTGCTGGATGCCGTTGTTGACCTCGCGAGGAAGTTGCTCTCGGAACAACATGACCAGCTCGACAGCGCTCAGCACACGGTCTTGACCTACTTGATGCTCCACTCCTTCTCCCTCCAGTACTCTCAACCCCTCAGCTCGTCTCCACCAGTGTCAGAGAAGCCTTTCGGTCAGAGGCCGAAGACTGCGGGAGAGTGCGGAGGCTCTTGTTGGTTCTTGGAGGTGCTGCTGTCGCTTCTCAGGCATGGCGCCCGGGGGAGGAGGACGGTAGTCGAGATCTGCTGTACTTACCTGCAAGTCGCTGCCTGCGAGTTTCCATTGATCCATGTTGCCCATGAAGATCAGGAGGGCAGTGCAGCTAATGATTCCTTGGCTCCCGACAGCCTCCGTCATCAAGATCAGCAGCGAGTCGCCGTGGTCCCCTCGCTGATCGTCTCGCTCCTCAAGTGGATCTCGGGGAGGTTTGACTTTGCCGGCCAGGACTTGGGTCATGCCCGCAACAACGTCGAATACCTCATGGCTGCTCCTGTCCTCTCCTCCCTGGTCGCAGAGACAAGACTCAGTCTGACGCACTTCCTCGATTTCGAACTTCGTACCCCCGATGAAGGCGGCGACAGAGACCTGAGGCTGAATCACATGCAGTGTTTCTTCTCAGAGGCCGTGAGGAAAGATTGCAACAACGACACTGAAAGGTTCTTCATGACGGTCTTCAGAGCCCTCACCGTCGGCAATCTGTCAGACACGAGGGGGAGGAACGATGTGATCGTGGCTGTTGTTGGATTTCTTGATGAGTTTGTAGCACCTCAACTACACGTGGACAGATTCTTGTTGGAGTATGTTGATGCTGTGCGAAGGACGGAACAAGGGGATAGCAAGAAAGTTCGAGAGAAGATAGAAACAGTCCTAAATGTCTGCAATCTTTTCCCGTCAAGACTAATCTTCGCTTCTTGTGACGATCAGCAAGAGCCGAATCTTCGTTTCCTGCAGACATTCTCAACTGTCTGCCAGGTTGTCTTCGAGGGCCAGGAGAGCAAGACTTCAACTGGCGAGATGTTTCCGCTCTCTCTCGCAAGGTTTATCATGAGGGGTATGAAACACACCGGACAAGACTTGTTTTCTCAGACAACGGGACGGAATCTTTCTTTCCTCGTGCGGCTGCTGCTGTTTCGATACCATGCCCTCTCCATCGACATGCGGCAAAACCTGCCAAAGCACAGGCTGATGGAACTGTTCGTTTTCATTGGGGGTTTACTCTCCTCTGAAATTGATGCGTCCACAGACATATCTTCCCTGAAGAATTTCTTAGAAGGATATCAGGGACGGCAGATGTTTGTGATGTTGCTGCGAAGTTACACGATGCTGTCCGAGGAACGAGAATCATTCTCATCGTCTCAAAGTTTCTTTCCGCCATCGTTAGCCAAGCTGATTCAGAAATGCGATGCAGAATGCAAGCAAGCGATGGCAATGGCTCTTGTTGAAGCGGCAGGAAGGGACGGCGAAATGTCAAGGGAGGAAAAGGAGGGGGGAAGCATGAAGACGATGAGACTTTGTTGCTGTGAGCATGGGAAGGGGAGCTACGCTGCTTCCTTCTTGTTGGAGTCGTTCAGGCTGTCGTCGGATGACTCTTGGGTGGATCTTGTACAGTCTTGCTTCAAGGATGATCGCAGAGCAGTTGAGGCTCTTCTTGTCATGGTCTTGTCCACCATAACTTCGAGGTACACTTGTGCTGCTGATGGGGGGAGGAGAGGAGAGGAGAGGAGAAGAGAGGAGAGGAGAGGAGAGGAGAGGAGAGGAGAGAAGGGGAGAGGAGAGGAGAGGAGAGGAGTGGAGAGGAGAGGAGAGGAGAGGAGAGGAGGTCAGGGGCAAGACGAGGGGAGGCAGTAGGTGATGTTTGACTCTTCCATGACGCGGTACAGGGGCGGAGGGCCAGCCACCGTGATCGACATTCTGCTGTCCTTCAACCCTCAACAGACTGAGAGGTTGACCAGAAGGCTCGTTGCTGGCTGCGGTCGGGGTAGTTCTCGACCCCTCCCACTTTCCCTTCTCCCTTACGGACTGTGCCAGTTGCCCTCCTGACTTGCTCGTGCGGAGAAAAGTCGAATCTGAGTGACGTGAAGAAGAAGGTAGGTTTCCTTTCTCCTCTCCTCCTTCCCTCACGCCTTTCTCTTCCCGTCCTCCTCTATCTCGATCTCGATCTCCCTCCTACCTCCTCATTCCCTCTCCCGCTCGTGTTACTATTTCCTCCTCCTTTTATGCATCTTCTTGCTATCCCAGTCTGTCATGTTACCATCCTCCTCTTCCTTCATCTTCCCCGCCTATTTTTTCTCCTGCTCCTCTTCCTCCTCCTCCTTGGTAAAGCTGAGCGTTCAGATTTTCTCTCTGCTCAACTACGTCACGGCGAGACAAACTCAAACTTGTAGGGGAGGAAATGAAGAGGTGAACGCAGAGCCTTTTCCTTGCTCCTCCCCTACCTCTTCCTTCCGTCCTTGCCTCTCACCCTAACGACTATCGTCCACTTCCTCCTATTCCTCTTCCTTCCTCCTTCTACCACCACCACCACATCATCATCTTCCTAATTTTCATCTTTTCCTGCTCTTCGTCTCGCCACTTTCTCGTGGTTCCTCCTGACATGTCCAACAGGGAGCGACGAATCTGCCTCATGAAGAAGAGAGCATGCCTGTCGAGGCGCTCGAGTGACAGCATAAGGAAGGGAAGGGGGTAAGGGGAGAGGAGGAGGGAGGAGGAAACGAAGTTAGTCAAGGGCGAGGTGGAGCCGGGGAAAGGGAAGGGGAAAAGCAGGAGGAGGAGGAGGAAAAGCAGGAGGAGGAGGAGAAGGAGCAGCAGGAGGAGGAGGAGGAGGAGGAGGAGGAGGAGGAGGAGGAGCAGCAGCAGCAGCAGCAGCAGCAGCAGCAGCAGCAGCAGCAGCAGCAGCAGCAGCAGCAGCAGCAGCAGTAGGAGAGAGACGATAATAAAATCAATTTCATTTCATGAGGAGAGAAAGAGACGGACGAATTCTTCGAGAGCCTCGTCCGCCAGCTGTTCCCTCCTCCTCTCCTCCTGGTTTCCTTCTATCTTCCTCCTCTCCTCCCCTCCTGCCGCTGTCTCCCATACTCCAGTCCCGTTGTCCACCAAACTCTCAGCGGGATCCGCCTGCTGCACAAGTTTCTGCCAGTCGTCGTAGGAGAAGCGATCGAGGACGTGAAACTTTCCGGCGTCAATTTCAGCCTGCAGGATGAAGTGAATCTCAGGAAGAGAGCAGGAGAGAGGTAGGCGAGAAGAGAGAGGAAGGGAGAGAGAGGGGGGAGCGGAGATGCAAGTGCAAGAACAAGGAAGAGGACAGCACAGCACAGCACAGCACAGCACAGCACAGCACAGCACAGGAGAGAAGAGCACAGGAGAGAAGAGAGGACAGGACAGGACAGGACAGGAGAGAAAGAGGAGGACAGGGTTTACCTCAAGACCTCCTTCGGGGAGGGTGAGGCCTTTTGACGCCTGCTGCCTTGTGGTCTCGACAGCAAGTTTGCCCTGAAAGAGATTGAGAAGACAGGCGAGGAGGGAGAAGGGAGGAGGGAGGAACTGAAGTCAGGAGAGAACGAGGAGCAGGAGCAGGAGCAGGAGCAGCAAAAGGAGAGCAGGAGCAGGAGCAGCAAAAGAAGTGGAGGAGGAAGAATATGATGGGAACACCTTTGGCCAGATGCAGAAGCCCGTGATGAGCATGAAATCATCCTCAGACGCTTCTTTCCTGCTGATTGCCTGGGGAATGGGGGAGGAGTGAGAAGAACAACAAGAGCATGAGAGGACGGAGAGGACAGAGAGGACAGAGAGGAGGCAACAGGAGAGGAGGAGAGGGAGGGGAGGAGGAAAGAAAATATCTGAAGCAGCAGCAGCAGCAGCAGCAGCAGCAGCAGCAGCAGCAGCAGCAGCAGCAGCAGCAGCAGCAGCAGCAGCAGCAGCAGCAGCAGCAGCAGCAGCAGCAGCAGCAGCAGCAGCGGCAGAAGCAGCAGCAGCAGCAGCAGCAGCAGCAGAAGCAGCAGCAGCAGCAGCAGCAGCAGCAGCAGAAGCAGCAGCAGCAGCAGCAGCAGCAGCAGAAGCAGCAGCAGCAGAGCCAGTATTCTCAGACCTTGACGGCGTCTGCTCCCGAGCACTTGCAGATGAAGTATTTCTCTCCATCCGCCTCCTCCTTAGCAACGAGGCTGCCGCATCCAGCGGCCAGGAGATCTTTTGACCCGTGGAGCCAGAGGACAGCAGAGGAGGAGGAGGAGGACCCAAAGGCGTACTCCCCGCCGAAGTGAACACGCCGTTTCTTAATTGCTTGATCGTTCTTGAAGTTGATCTGAGGAGAGTGAGGAACGGAATGGGAGGGAGGGGGGGGAGAGGAAGGTAGCGACGGAGGGACAGAGGGAGGAGGGAAGGGGGAGGAAAAGACCAAAGTGGAACAAAAGGGAAGGAGGAGGAGAGGGGGGAGGGAGGAGAGGGGAAGGAATCGGAAGAAGAATGGAATAATTCGGACCAATTTCTTTGTTGGTCGATTGAGAACGATTCCAAAGGTTGCTGAGCAAAAACAAGAAAGTTAGGAAATAGAGAAAGAAGAAGGCATTCTATTGTGGTTGTAATGATTGAGATGATGATGATGATGATGATGATGATGATGATGATGATGATGATGATGATGATGATGATGATGATGGATATACCCTCTTCAGTATCCTCAAATATCAGGATTATGGACTTGTGAAGGAACTGCTGAGAGAGGAGAAAGTTCGTAGGGAGAGATGCGGC